TACGTCACATTTGCCATAGATTAGGAATCTGCCATAGATTTGGAACCCGCCATAGATTTGAGTCCTACATATATATATATATATATATTAACATGTCTAAATTGAAAACAACGTTCAAACCTATGATTGCGTTGGATAAAAACTGCAATTTTTATAGGTGTGCATGCAAAACAAATTTCTTGGTAGAGGGGTCTAAATACAGCACAAACAACATTTTCCAAAAGACCAAAAACGTGAAAAAGTATATTTTAACAAAACGCATTTGACTAACAGGTCGAACAACTGATGTTCTTAAACCCTGCTGACTGCCATTGGCGATTGCCAAATAAACGTATCACCAGATGTAACAAAATGGATCTTAAAAATTATTAATTTAATACCAAACAGAAAACAATAAACTTGCGGAAAAGATGGTATACCACAAATATGAGGTGCAAAAATTTGTACATATATATAATATATATGTTAAAAGTTATTTTTAATCCCAATAATATATGATGATAAATACAACATGTACAATGTACACACTAAATGTTTCTAAATAATATCAATGTACATTTCTTTGTAGGTTTGCTGACACAGATGCAATGGATAACCTAGCTGTATTAGATACGTCACTTTTGGCGGATGTACTAGCCACTTATGCCATCTCAGAAATACATGACCTTGCCAGTCATTTTCTGATTGACAAATATATATTTTTAAATGAATGGACATCTTTCATTGAAATTATAAGGGACAAGGGATGTAATGACAGAAGCATTATGCCCTGTCTCAAGTTTTTTTTGAGTGAAAAGTTAGGGCTATCAGCATTTTTTCCTAATATCATTCACCTGATGAGCACAGCTGCTGTCCTACCACTGAGCACAGCAGAAGTGGAAAGGGTGTTCTCTCAAGTAAAAATGGTGAAATGTGAACATAAAAACCGTCTAAATCAGGAAACATTGAATTCCATCCTTCATGTTAAACTTAACTGCAACAAACAATGTTTTGAACATCTGTCAGATAATGTAGTGAAGAAGTTTTTTAGCTTGAAGGATAGAAAAATTCAATTTTATCTTGGTAGATAGTGTAACACATTTATGTATAAAGATGCAATGTATATAACTGTTCAAATAATAAAAGACAATGTTTGACATGCCCTTTTTGAATTATCAATCAGCGCGCCAAAGTGCCCTTTTCATGACTGGCGCCCTGCCTTTTTGAAATCCTAGCTGGAACACTGTCAGGACATTCATAAATATAGCTTAGTTGTCTTCCTTTTTCATATCTAGCACATTTAACAAACAGCAATTAAGTTACTATGGTGACTCCTTTTTTCAAGTTGTGATCCTTCAACACATATTTGTATGTGATAATCTTGGTTTCAATTGACATTTAAATGTATATTAGACAACTTAATCAATTAGACACAGAGCTTAGTAAGTAAAAATAATTTAAAGAAAGAAATATATCCCGACTCATTTTTTTTCAATTTTTACAAGTTTGAATTTATTGATGGAAAATATCAAAGGAAATAACTGATATAGGATAAGAAGAAATGGGATTTGTAACCGGGGTTTTTGAACGTTATTGATACAATGAATACAGTCAAACATTTTACATACTCCATCATGATTTGACTCACCTTTGTCACATATGATCACGAACATGTTCCATTTGTCATAGCCAAATTCCCGAGGTACTTTACTATTTTACTCTTAATAATCCCTGTTTCAATAGCAGTCAGTCGAATATTACGTACACTGCGCTTATATAGTATAAGTATATGGTAGACAGCTTTTTACTTAAAAAAGTAGTGTTGTTGATATGATTTTCAATTTTGTCATTAAAAATATTGATGTTACAGTTTCTCTTCTCAAATGCAAGAAACTTCCTTTCGTCTTTTTGGAGGTGTTGCTAACCGACGAATGGTTGTTTTGTTGTAAATTTTTGTTGAGTATGTAAACTCACATTGAATGTATTGAATTTTCGGGTTAATTAAAATTCTGGTACACAATCGAAAATTAGATTGTTGAGCCTTCTTTTCAACTACATATACCAACTGCAAAGGTTACACTAACTGCATAAACTATACTAGCTGACTAAAATTTTCACTGAATTTACTGTTTATAAAATGTCAAATAATTCAAAACACTAAGGTTTTTCTAATCCAGATATAGAATGCCTTAGTCGTATTTGGCTCACATTTTTCGGAATCTTCGGATTTTTAAGCTCTTTATCTTTGTATTTGATGTTGCCTTTTAAGTGTTTTGATTCGAGCGCCACTGACGAGTCTTGTGTAGACGAAACGCGTGTCTAGCATACCAAATTATAAGCCGGGTATATTTGAAGAGTTTTAAAATCCACATCATAGTAACTCCTTTAAATATATAATAACAACATCAAAATATTGTTTACTTGGTAGGGGTTGAATTAAATTTATTTTCATTATGAAAAATAAATAAATAACAAAAGGAACTTATAGGTGTTGAGATTCTCAGTTTTCTTATTCACAGTACACTAAGGCAAAACGATAAAAGAGTAAAACAATTCACCGGAAAAGGAAATATACAACCACTGTTGTAAGACAATTAAAATGGTTACTATGATTTCAGCAGTAGGCAATTCTCTTCGATTCAGTATTGCCTTGTTCTGAATCCTTTAATTGTGTCGAATCCTTGACTTTAGGGCGAAATCTGTTCATAAACTTTGATTTCAACCTGTGAAAGAGAACACTAGTTTACTACTAATGTTTTGTAGATCTGAAATACAATATTAATTTGTCTGTAAAATTATTAAATAAAAAAGTTTAAACTCATTTTACATTATTAATGCGGCCGATGGATGCATAGCAGGAGACGCTAATCCTGTTGACGTTTGAAATTCATGTGATTCCCTAAGTTTTTTTCTCATTTGGTTGGTGTAAAATTGATTTACAATTTCTTAACATTGGTCAGCTACTATTGCATCTTATTTATCGAGTCTGACATTTGATAAAAACTGTCGTTTTGTTTATAGTAACTTTAGTGTCATCATTTCGAAAAAACAAAAAACATTCACAATAAACACAAAAAAACTGTGATTTGTTTTGGCAGATATTCATACATATAATAGCAAATAAACACGTTTTAAGTTATGTATATAGACTCATCATAGATACCAGGATTGAAATTTTATATTTTAGTTTCTTTTCCAGGAATCCCAGCCTATATCCTTTTTTTATAGGGGCAATATTTTTCTTTTTTGCATACTAGTAGTTTTCAACAAGGGACGATTTGAGATTTCCTTTCTTTAAAACTACTTAATTCTTACATCGGATAGTAAATCCACAGAAGACTGACTGCAACAGTCGAAACACCTAAAACTACCAGCGTTGTCACAACAACAATCCATGGTTTCACTAGAGGAAAATTAAAGATAGAAAAACTAAAGTTTGTATAATGATTTTTTTACACTTATATTATCAGTATCGTCTGTATTGTTCTACACTTGATTCATAAAAAGAATGTCCAACGTAGATACAAATATCTTGTTTTAGGAAGGGATAAACAATATATTCTAAAAAAAAAAAACATTTTAAATCAACAAAAATTCTCGGAAAATGACTTTATCTAGATGATTGACTTTTTGATTAACAACATAATTGTAAGTTTTGCAGGACGAACAATCGACGTTCCTTTGGAATAGAACTGTGCCCCTCGTCGTCTTTATTCATAAGAGGCAGACTTTGTACAACAGCTTTCCGGGAAGAATGTAAATAAGCTTTACCCTTAAATGTTTTACGTTCCTCTATACAATAAATCAAAGTTTGGTGACTATGTGAACGGTCAAATCTTTACGACAAAAGAGATTATTTCGGCTTCCCTATGCTATACTTTCAATTTTCTATGTAGCAACATATAAGCAGTACCTGCATTTTGAGTATATATGCAGTTGATACGATATCAAAGGGCTTGTGTTTTCTATCATGATTTCCTTGATAGAGAGTTGCTATTTCCCAGGAGGCTATTTCACCAAAACTTTTAAGTGGTAAAATTTAAGTCGGCTCTTCGGGCGTTAATACGTTAATAAGACGTCAATATTAATTGGTTGACCGTTATGGAATTTGTGTCACAATTGTCATTGTAGCCGTTTAATAGCCATAACCACAATTCCGTTCTAATTTCTTTGAGTGTGACATCAATGAATGAAACTTACCAGCGAATGTGTACGGGTGCCACATATGGAGCAGGGTTTTTCCCTTCCAGAGCACCTGGTATAACCTCAGGTTTTTGGTTGGGTTGGTGTTGTTCAGTTTTAAGTTATCTTTGAAGTGTTTTGTATACTGTTGTTTCTATATTAATTTTATTTTGCCATGACGCGGTAAGTTTCACTTCGACTAAAGGGTTTTAAAAGCCCCTTAGCTGTCAGTTACTGCGAGTACGCTCAGATCTGTACTTAGCGTCTTTTTTGTTGTGGGGATGTATAAGTACCCTGCAACGTCCTGTCTGTGTATGTCTTCTTTGTATCGATCTGATTAGTTAAGCCCTTTTCAACTGATTTTTATAGTGTGTTCTTTTGTTGTACTGTTACACCACTGTCCCAGGTTAGGGAGAGGCTTGGCGCCAGGAGCCTGTTATTCAGTGGTTGTCGTTTGTTGCTGTTTCTCATATTTGTTTTTCGTATGTTGTTTTGTATGGTTTGGTCTTATGTTGTGCCGTTGCAGCACTATCCCAGGTTACGGGAGGGTTTGCGCCTTCAATGCAGCTTGGGTTTTGCTCATTGTTGAAGACCGTACGGTGATCTATAGCTATGTCATTTTGTCTCTGATGAAGAGGTGTCTAATTGGCAATTATACCCCATCTTTTTATTTTTATATCTACTTCTTATTTTGAAAAATTAGATTGAAAAAGAATGATATTCCAGGCGTTAAACCAGAAACGATTTTATGTTTGGCTTTACTTTTGGTTCTTTTTTGTTTTCTAAGCTTTAAAAATTTATTCGAAAGAAAGTATGACAACTCAAGTCTTATTTCTGCTTTACTCACTTTTATCACAATAATATCCTGTGTATATATTGTGACAATGACACACAAGTTGACCCTCTGATGTGTTGTAACACTGACCATGATCGCAGTAGTTATCCATATCAATACACTGATACAATACTGCAATTGAATAGTTAAAAGAAATTAAGTATGAAATAATGATGATATTAATCCTAAATGTCTGAAATCTACTCAATTAATATAAGAAGCATATTGGTTGTAATAATTAATTTAAACACATTGATGAAACATGCACGTCCTTTCCCGACTTCAGTGCGCACGACATGTGCTGCTATGATATGTTCTTGAATTAAAGTACATTTAGCCAGACTAAGTAAAGTAAGCGCAAAACTGCATAAAACCTGAATGACCTCAGTAAAAACAACCAAAAACAATCCGAGGTCAACTTTACGTGAGAGAGTTACGACTTACATTCGATTAAAATGAGACTATATTGAATGGATTTAGATTTAGTCGACGCATCCGGTCTCCTTCATTTTGGCACTAAGTTGTTTTCACTTGTTTTGCACATTCAAAATTGACAAACTACTGTTGCCTTATACATATTTCAATTGACATCTGAGAATTGTTGAACTACACTAAACTATTTGACTTATGTGATGATTCAATTTCTAATGGGGAATTTGCCTCAAACTGAGCATTAATAAAGCTATATAACTTGCATTTGTAGTATGAATATAAACTTTATTTAATTCTACAAGGGCTTGATTGAATTACATAAAGTCTTCATGAAAAATGACGATCACATTAACTGTGTTAGGTGAAAATAATATTTTCAATTTGCTTGACATTACTTTTAAACATGTTGTGTGGTTTGGGAATTAGCTTCTCCAATAACGATAGAAACAAAAATTCAGGAAACCAAACTAATTATGAAATTTCAAAAATATTAAAACCTCAAAAGGCCAAAACAAAATTGCCAAAAATCGAGGTTTTAATTTCATATGTTAATTACAATATTAGGAAAATTGGACGTCTACAAATAAAATTTCCTTATACACGGTATAATTCTAGAACGTCTTTAAAACATTAAAGTATGTGGACAGAGTTAATCCAAAGTACGTTGTTACCAGTTTCATTATTTGTTGTATTTGACGATGCTGTACTTGTAGCCATTATTTTGCGAGTCGATGTACTTTGAGCTGCATATGATACCTTGGTTACCATAGTAGTTGTTGCTCTTGTGGTTATAACAGTCAATGTTGTACTTATTGAGGGTTGTGTTGTCTGTACTACTATTGAAAATAAAGAATGCAAAAAGAAATCAATGAGTGAAATTTATTTTCAATTATCAATCACAAGATAAACATAAGAAGTTCACCAACTCAACCAGATTATTTATCAAAGTATATATTTTACATAGTATGTTGATTATATAAATGCTAAATGACTTCATTATATATGATTAGTTTTAATTCTTCTATTTAATTGGTCACTTTCTTCTAGGATGTTAACATTTTCATCGTTCCATCCAATAGTCGTGAAAGAAAAATATTTCAATAGATCTATGAAGGAGAGATTAATTGTCACACGTGATGACAATCATTTAAATACAATGTACCATTTTCACAGTGAATTCCAGCATATCCTGTACTGCAACTACAAGAATATCCATTGATCCTATCCTGACACTGTCCATGTTGACAAGGTGAGGAAGAACACTCATCTATGGCTGAAAATTTGTCAGAAAACAATGTTTCTTATTCATGAACTAGTTATTTAGATTTAAAGCACATTAAGAACGTTCATAGAATGATAGAATTTGAAGGAAGACTTCAACAGATATTTAAGAAATTTATGAATATTACATGATTCAATTCAAAAGCATATTGACATTTGGAATTAACAGGGGTAAACAGTAAACCAACCTAATTACTCTAGTATAAAAATAATGCCAAAATTATTTATAAATATGTGCATGACGATTTTAATAAAAATGTTTATTTGTTGAAGAAATCAATAATCCGATTAATTTAGTCAGATAATACTAGTAACAAGGTATATAATTGGTTTCTAACTTGTACTTAATAGATTTTCAATTTCAACGATAAAAAATATAAATTTTTTACCATTCAGCTACAAATAAAAAAAAAAGAATTGTTACATCAAACTTTGTTAAGAATTATACAAAATACCTGTCTCACTGTTGTCTCCTGTGTATCTTTTTGTGCAATTACACACATATCCATTTATTTGGTCAAGACAAATCCCAAGGTTACTTGGAGAAGAGCCATATTCATTGATATTTTTAAATGTGAGAAAAAGATAAATGATGGCACTAATATATAGAAAAATGGATTAACGGAAGTAAAATAAGACTTTTTACAACTAATATGTTAATTTATGCTTCATACAATCTGAAATGTCGTTTTTTTTTCTTTTTGTTTAGTTTGAAGAACTTTTTGCGCATAATAGGTGATTTGCTTCGTTTTCAAAGCGGTATTAAAGCATTTGTTAAGCAAGAGAGAGGCGAAAGATACCAAAGGGATATTCAAACTCATAAGAAGAAAAACAAACTGACAATGCCATTGCAAAAAACGAAAACGATAAAAAGACAAACAGTAAACAAAATACACAACACGAAACAAAACACAATATTATTGTTTTATATTGTTGTTAAAGTTTTTTATTACGATAAAAGTAAAATAACAAAAATACCGAACTCAAAAGTAAATTCAAAACAAGCTCCTTAACAAATGGCAAAATCAAAAGCTCAAACAAATCAAACGAATGGAAAACAACTGTCATATTCCTGACTTGGTACAGGCATTTGATGATGTTTTCAGATTGGGTTCCATTAATATTTCCTCCAGAACTAGAAATTAAAGAAACAAGAGACAAGGCTTCCTCCACCTCATTTTTAGACTTATATCTCGACATAAGCGGTCATCTCAGTACTATGACAAACGAGACGATTTTAATTTTGAAATTACAGATTTCCCTCTCCTTAGCAGCAATTTACTACCTTCAACTGGATATTGGATATACATTTCCCAACTCATTCGGTATTAAAGAGCTTGCAGCTGCTACTCAGACTTTATAAAACGTCATCAGTGCCTGGCAGAAAGTTGATAAACCAGGGTTATGTCAAAGAAAGTCTCGTCCTTTTTCTTTAAGAGTTCATCGGAAGATACCAAGACCTTGTTGATAAATATTCGGAATCAACATCACAAATAATACATGATGGTCTTGAAGTATAGATTCTAGGTATTGACGTTGTTTATCATCTTCATTAAGTGTTATAGTGTTCTTTTTATTTGTCTATTTATATTTTTAACCTTTAATGTTTAGTCCATTTTTGGTGATATCCTTTTGGCGTGGCTCGGTATTTATACATCCCGCCATTGTGTTAATGTGCTATTGTAATTTGTAGTATACTTGTTTTTCTTTTTTGCTTATAACAACAGTAAAGTGAATAATTTACAAAGACAAACAAAAGAACACTATAACACTATAACACGTAATAAAGATGATAAACAACGTCAGTACCTAGAATCTATACTTCAAGACCATCGTGTATTATTTGTGAAATTGATACGGATCACACAAGGTCTTGGTATCTTCCGATGAACTTTTTTAGAAAAAGGACGAGACGTTCTTTGACATATCTCTGGTTCATCAACTTTCTGCTCAGACACTGGTGACGTTTTATAAAGTCTGAGTAGCAGCCGCAAGATCTTGAATACCTAATGAGTTGGGAGATGTATGACGTCGTCACAGCATTAATTTAAAAAAGCCTTTCAATACCGTCATAATCATGATGATTGTTTGGACTAGTATTGTGAAAATAATTGTATAAATTTCAAAATCATATATTCGTCATTGTTGTTTCTTTAATTTCTAGTTCTGGAGGATATATTAATGGAACCCAACCAGAAAAGTTTAAATTGTTAATGGAAAGAACATCATCAATATATCTGAATGTGAAATTAAATGGTCTGACTTCTTTGATCTTCTATTTTTGATTTTTTGTCTTTTTACTTTTGGCCATGGCGTTGTCAGTTTGTTTTCGATCTATGAGTTTGACTGTCCCTCTGGTATCTTTCGTCCCTCTTTTTTGACCAGTGTCTGAAGGAACTCCGACTCCTATGAAAATAAGAATAGGTCGGCAATGAGAGGCGCACATTTTGTTCCCATAGGAATGAAGACAATTTGTTGAAAAAAGTTTACCTGCGTACTGCACTCTTCTTCCTCTGTGCAGCATGTTTTCTATGTTGTGTTTTGTGTACTATTGTTTGTCTGTTGGTCTTTTTTAAGCCATGGCGTTGTCAGTTTATTTTCGACTTATGAGTTTGAAAATCCCTCTGGAATCTTTCGTCTCTCTTTTACCTTTTTGTTCACTAACAACAAAATATGTCGTATGGCATCAAAAAGCAATAAATTTATTGCGTCTGCTACCATTTTTATATTGGAAAGCATTGTTGATTATTTCTTTTAGTCGATTTTTTAATTTGACATCGAGAATGGTGGTATAAAGGGTTAAAAATCAAAAGATTTGATGTATTAATTTCAGAGAAAGATTGAGATTTAAATTTATCCAAAAGTTCTTAAGAGTGTTTTAGAATCCACATATGGTTAACACTATTACGCGAGTAAACAGTTTCACAGTATTTCTGAAGACCTTCTTTCACTGCGGACATAACTGTTGTCCATCTACAGGACAATTCCTTTGTAGAACATGCAGATGAGCCGGCAATGTACCATCGATTGTACGGAATTTTGTGAAGCTCAGTTATCCAATACAAACAAGGTAAGTCCTCAGATTTGCTGTTCAATGTAATGTTCACTGAAGCCAAAATCTCATCCATGTCAAATGGTATGTTCTTTATGGCATTGCAGTACCTAGTTCCCTTATCCAGAAATTTTCTCTATCATTTCGGAAAGGAAAACTTAGTATTGTGCTATAGATGTGGTGATAAACTTTCATAGGCCAGGAAGGATCATTGTCCGGTTTGTTTAAAATGGTTATAATGAACCCCGAATTGCGGATTTGCGGATCTTTATATTCAGACCGGTGTTGATTCATCCTTTTACGCAAAGTTTGTCGAGTTTCACCAACAAAAAAGTAGCCCACCATAACTGTTATATATTTATGATATGCTTATAACATCCTTGCTAACGAGAAAGTAGGAGATTTACGGGGGGGGGGGGGGGGGGGGGGGTCTCTGCATTTATGTATTGAGATATACTAAGGAGAACCTGGTTAAAATTTAATCGTACTTTGTATCTGTATATTTTGCAAACCAAAAATTCGTAAACGCAAAAAAAAAAAAAAAAAAAAGAAATAAATCTAGTTTGGCAGACTGTTTGTTTTATTCCACTGATATTAAAATTAATTGCATCAAATATTTTACCAACTGTTCGAAACTTCGCAGACGTTTCAAAATAAAACACCTTACAATGTTTATATGTAAAATTGTGCATAAAACCGTCAGATTACAGTACAATTTATGTGCTTAAAACTAAACTTTAAACAACCATTTAAGATTTATGGATTTAATTATCAAAAAATATGAAACCTTACACTTACTTATCCAACAAGTTAATCACTTACAGTGACTTTGTAACAAACCTACCCATAACATACATTTTAAAGCTATAAATTTTTGACCTCTCTCACTTTCATTTTGAATGAATGAAGACATCGAATATTCAAAATCGGCATCTAATCAGAGAGGATATACATTACCCTTATGTTGAATAAAAGGATATATGTGGTAAACGTTAATATTTACCATTTTGAAAGAGTAAACAAATGTAAATTCTAGCGATTAACATTTGAATGTGTATAGAAGCATACGTATATCTTTCAATTTATATTTTCTGTCTTTAATATTTATTGAGATCGTTTAAGAATGGCCTACTCATAACGTTCATAATTATATTCATTTCACAAAAAAGTATATTTAGTTTCTTTTTTCTTGCGTGTTACTTTGGCTTAAATATTTAAGATTTTCTCCAATCCTTATTTCAAATAACATTGACGGTAATATTGAGGAAAACAAAAGATATTGGGTATCAATCCATGACCAAAAATCTGAACATGCACAGCAAAAAAAAAAAAAAAGAAATAACCACACACACAACAAGCAAAGGAACAGCGCTCCTACCGCCGCCCCTCACCTCAAAGTCACAGTGTGGCCCTAACACAGAGATAAAAAACCTCCCACCCCACTGCAAGCCTTAGACGGCCTCCAGCACCGGCCGAGTGGAATTCCCTGCAAAAATAAATTTGGATAGACTTTGTAAGATGTAACAGCAGACATATAACAATTCGTTGTGTAGAATTATACAATGAGGGATGGAAAGAGCAATTCTAAGTGTCTCAATATGGTGATCAAGGACGATGAATGTACTGCAAATGACTACTCTTGATATTGTCTATGCCAACTCATAACCATAGAATTTCCAGGCTTAAAAATGCAACATATATTATTTGCATTTCCAAACTAAATATAATTTAGTAACCAACTGAAAATGAGACTAAATAAAATTGGTGCGTCCGAAGCTCAAACACCAAAATTTGAAGGTCAAAGATGTGTAAATATCCGATTACTAGAGGTGCTATATGACAAAAAAAGATATAAAAATAGCCAATTCAATTTAAGTCAACATTTTCTTATCGTTAAACAATAGAATAAAAATCGTTCATATTTGTTCATTCAAAATAAC